TCCGGTCAGTAAATTTGTTCTCTAACGACTGAACCATCTCACCTCAGAGATTTAGTCATGGGGGTTCAAAAGACATTACTGTGGACAAAAGACTCACAAATTCTGCAGGTATCCCAAACTAGTCAAAGAAACTGATGTACGGACTTACTGTGTGTCTTACTAAATTGCAAATTTTACTTTATTTTGCAGGCATCCTTAAACAGATGAGCTTTAGATGCGAAAAAATAATCAGTCTGTGCTTCAGCAGGTCCTTATCCAAAATGGCTGTCAGCAGAGTCAAGGGTCCTCTGTTCGATACAAACAGTGTCCTTATAGTGGTAAATGAGAGAAGTTGTGCGATTTCTCTTGGCCTATCATGCGATTACGGTGATTGAGGCCCTTAAGTAGTTCATGTTATTAGTGATCTCCACGTCAGAACCTCTCAATTTTCAAGCAAATGTTCGTGATGTTGAGGTCAGGACCTAATCAGAAGCCACACATCTACATGATTTGAAAGTGCAGCCCTCAGTTCCAGTCTGCGGTCGGAAAGAGACAGAATTCGAGATATACCTTCGTCGCAAGCCGGGTTTTTCTGTTTTGCCTAGACGTAACACACTACTCACAAAGTTCGTAGAAATTCTACGTTTAAGGCCCACCAGGTATGCGCAGTCCCGGTCCTTCGCCAACCCTTCGCTGATTTGTTTTCACTGACACAATCTATCTGTCCACACCCTACTTCAATGATCTGATCCGGCAATTAATGAAATTATCGCACTGCTAACACTCTTGATAATTTAAGTCCAGTGTGGTACAAGCAAATCGATCCGGTGTACCTGTTATGTTTTCGATAAATCCCTACTTTGTGTTCTCGCTGTTTTTCTCTCTGCAGGACCCACAAGAAGGAGGAGGGAATATTACTTCCAACGACGTTAGGAGCCATATATGACGGGTAACCGAGTTTGGTTTGTTTTACTAGCCTTCCGCGTTTGTGATCAGTTTAGCCGTCTGATTTTTGGCGGGGAATTTGAGTTTAACACGTACAATTATCAGCCCTGTCCATCCATGTGTTTAGGTTCGAACCAAGAGAAAACACAATGACCTAATAAGTTGTCCACTTTCTCACCACTTACACTAGATTATGTAAAGTTATTTCGAATCATTCCGTGTGATTTAGTGGAGGAAATTTGTGTGGATCACGTTCAATCAAATGTCAATTGTTCTGGCGCCCGCCGGAGGGTCGCAAGTTCGAAACCATTTGAGATACGCAGTGTTGAAAATTCCAAATAAGGGTAGAACAGTTGCACAGTGCACGCGGCCTCTTCGTGCAGACTAGATTTCCTGACAGATCAAACTCTCGGTTGAAAATTAGCAAATCTCCTCACGTGATTATCACACTGGTTGTTCTTAAAAAGCCTCGAACCTCGCGTCACTAAGTGTCTATTCAGGCAGAAAGTTTTGTTCATAAATCTCAGGATTTTGAAACGTGATTTTCATGCTAGAATATCATTTTTTCAAATTAAATTGCACGTAATTCGGAAAAGAACGTTATTCTTATCGCACGGAGCAAAAATAGTTGCAATACGTCAACACTATGCGTAGTACAAAGTAAAGTTTATTCTGGTTCATTGTAATTAGCAGGTTAGGAATTTATACAGCAACTCTCAACAGCGTCGAACGTACATCACACTTAGCTCAATCCAAGTTACACAGGAAACGACAACTGTACTCAAAGTGCCGCTTCAGGGAAGAGCCGGCTCTTTTCTTCGGTACAGTTACCATGGTTTTAGTGAAGAGTTCTTTATAAACGTATTACACTCCGTATAAGTTTGCTGAAAACTCTTCGACAGCCCATGACCGATTTCGGCGTTCTTCGGGCTCAGCACATAGGAACCATCCCCGGGTTTTCGTCAACCCCATGTTCTATTTTCGGGCTCAGCACATAGGCACAATCTCCGGGTTTTCGTCAACCCCATGTTCTACGTGAACTCAAAATGCACGCACTTCATTTTAGACACCCAGCTGCACACCAGTTTGGTTTTGACGGGAGACACAACTGAAATGATGTTCTTAAGAACATCATAAACGACAGGTTCAGTTGGGTTTCAGGGGAGTCCCCCGCCAAAACTAAATTGTTATGCAGAGAAGTGTATAAGATTGATCAGTTTAATTTGTAACAAATTTCATCATCGTCTAAACAAAAGCCTACAGAGCTTTTATGGATGTGATACACTACTCATAAGGATGCTCAAAGCTGTTCAACAGTCCAAGACTTGCTTCGCCCTTGTTGAAGCTCATCAGGTGGGCGCGGTTGCCTTAAACTCAAATTGCACGAGATTCGGTTTATACATTCATCAGCGTACAAATTTGTTTTTGACGTAAGACTCACTAGGCAACCAGTTGAATCTCCCGTTTATGGTGTTCATGTACCATATGAGTAGTGTGTGTTACTTCAATACATTAAGGTATTGCGATATGTCGAATATCTCAAGATGTGAAAAATGAAACGGCCTGGTACAGCACATTCAGTTGATTTAGAACATGAGTGAGTCTTCTGTGAAAACCAGCTTCGTATGCAAATGAGTGCATATGTCAAAAACTGACTATATTTAGCGAAATTCCTAAACACGCTTGCGCTAGCTGTGGCAAGCAAGCTTATAAAGCTGGAGTTGGCTGTAACTCGACTGCAGGCATCCTGAGTTAACAGGGATTAAACAAAACCAACGTGAGCAGTATTCGGCACACAATTGGCCAATCTGCTGTCACTTGAGTGGAGCACAGTGGAGCAAATGACGAACACAACAAGTAAGTGCGTAGTCGAATGTGGTCAGAGAACTGTCAGCCATAGGTGAAGTTTTGATTGTCACGAAGTGCAAGCCCTGTGAACAAATATATGCCAAAACCGCTTCGCAGTTAACCCCTAGCTCCTATTACATACGGACTTGACAAACATGTATTAGACTTGCAACAGGTTTAAACACAGATTAGACAAGCAACAAGTTGCTTTTCTTGGCGTCCACCCTTTGTTTTAGCATTGTGTACATCTGGATACATTTTCAAGGCTTCTGTTTAAAAGTAAGGGAGAATGAGAGGGACCATCCGACGCGTTTCCAACCCTATATATTCGCTGTTTTCAATCCTGTCCAACATCCCAGTAGCCCTAGGACAATCATACAAACTAGTGCGTCCCTTGTTTTTGTGTGTGCACGAAAGGGGGGGGGGTTGATAAAAGACAAAGAGTGAATCCACCTGAGTTTTCACAGAACAGCATCAAAGTCTCAAATTCACTTTGCTAGCTGTCG